CGACAGGGGTGAGGAAATTTACAAGTTACTAGTATTAACATTGTAAATCATCATAAAAAGTTACTTAACAGTTACAGATTGAATTCTAATTGCTTTTGCTGAATAAATTGCTGAATTTCATTGAGTCAAAGATTTGAATCTCTTCTGCTCTAATAAAGAGATGCTGTGCACATCGGGGGAGAGATGCACAGTCATGTTTCTCCACCAGAGGGAGCTGTCTCACCTGCTGCAGTTGTATTGAGTGGAGCCTGCGTGCTGTGTTAATCCGCAGGAAGTGCACTAAATTAGAATTACATGAATTACAAAACAGCATAAGGTGTTTAGCAAATAAGCAAATGAATTGATTCAATGAGGCCAGTTCAGAAGAATTACAAGAGCGGCCCTGCGGCTCTCTGGGAGCAGTGCAGAGATTGGAAGAGGGGCGTGGGGGGCGGCGCTCGTACCAGCGCAGACAGGCCGTCTCCCGGGGCGACAGCCACCGGCTCCACACGCACAGCGCGGCCGGCAGCATGAGCAGGACCCACAGCCAGCAGCAGCTCACGACCAGCGCCATGAAGAGCCCGAAGTCGTGGACCGCCGGGATCTGATCCGGGGGGAAGAGACGGACACAGCTGACCGGTATCGCTTTTCAACACCCCACATGTGGACAAACAGCACCCACCCCCGCAGAAACACCAGTGTCTCATCGGAAATCTGCACCCCAATTCTCCAGTTCTCCCTTCTCCTCCCTCTCTCTCCCTCTTCCCCTCTCCCTCTCTGTTTCTGTGTCCCTCACTCCCTCTCTCTCCCTCTCTGTCTCTCTGTGTCCCTCTCTCCCTCTCCCTCTGTCCCTCTGTCCCTCTGTGTCCCTCTCTCCCTCTCCCTCTGTCCCTCTGTGTCCCTCTCTCCCTCTCCCTCTGTCCCTCTCTCCCTCTCCGTCCCTCTGTCCCTCTGTGTCCCTCTGTCCCGCCCCCTGGAGCCCGTACCTGTGAGAAGGTGTTGGCGGCGTAGGCGGCGGCCGTGGTGAAGGAGGTGAGGAATGTGGCCCTGCCGGCCGTCTGCACCGTGTGAACCATGCGCTGCCCAGGCTGGCGCAGGTGCCCAGCCTGCTGGAACGTGTTGATGAACACGAAGACGTCGTCCACCCCTGCGACCCGAAGGAGGTGACAGTGAGCGTGATGCGCAAAGGCCACATCAGAGCCCACAGCAAGGAGAAATAAAGGGCTTACGCACAGCAGCAAGGTGCTCGTTTACTACAGTGAACCTGTATGAGCGACACTTTAGAGCAGAGTCTGCAAATGGAGCTGATGTCGGATTTATTACCCGTGATGCAGAAAGAGTATCAACACAGTGCTCGTGCCCCAGCACCACCTGAGCTCTGCGTGTTGTTAAATGCTTGTTAGACACAGGGTCTCGGCCAAGACCGGTCCGCTCGCACACGGGCTTCTGGAGACCCAGGAGATGGGCCAAGAGGGACCACCAGCTGCTACAGGTTCCCCCAGGCACGCGGGTGGGGCTCACCGATGCCGATGATGACAAATGCAGCCACTCCGTTCAGGATTCCCAGGTACCGCACCCCGAACCCCACATGGTACAGGAACAGCGCAACCAGGCAGCTCAGGCCTATACTGGCCAGGCCGAAGAAGGACAGGAACACTGTGGGC